AAGGGCATTCATCCATAAAGCCTCATAGAGTAAATGAAAACTAAGCTTGTCCAGGTATCCTTATCTTATTCCATTCCCCATTAGAATATCAGGGTAGTACTTCTTTTCCTGAAGGTCTGTGCATTTAAGAAGATATTTTCTTCAAAGGATATTTATCTCTTATAGAAAAACTTCACAATGCTTTTGCTACTTCAAAAATCAGCAGATATTTGCTGCTGCTCAACAGGGTGTTTACGTGTAGACCTCAAAATAGATGCACCAAAAAGAAGAAATGCAGGACCATAATTCTTCATCTGAAAATCTATAGTTAGATGTGCTTCAAAATTCTGGCTTTGTGATTCTAGAAAGGCAATGCAGTGCATTTAACAAATATCATGTAGCACTCAGAAATCAAATTTGGTAATAGTATTGCTGCAAAACATGAATAATCAAAGTGAGATAAATATGTACTTTAGAACTGCATATGGATTTAGCTTATGTTTTACCAACAACAGACTATACCAAAAGCCCACAAAAAATGTGTTTCAAAGTTTTTTGCATTTGAAAATGTTCCATAAAGAATTATACACATTTAAAAATGGCTCAAATGTTACAGAAAATATCAACTGATGAGTAATCAAATATATACAAAATTAACCATGTTACCAATCCTTTCCTAACAGATTAACAAATATGTTTTTCAGAAAAAAAATTGAGTATGAAAAGTAAGTCCTCTGGACCTCTGCAGTAAGAACATAAACTGGGCCAACCTCCAGATCAACAATGGAGTCATCGATGGTATCAAAAATGTAAATACCACTGCACCTCAAATTGCTTTTTCAGAACTCATTTTCTGTGGAGCTCCCCAATATTTAATTTAGATAAAGCCTTATGCACAAAGGTGTTCACTGAAACCATCATCTCACTTAAAAATAATTCTCACTTAAAAATAATTGAGTAACAACTGAAACCTCCTAAAAAGGTACAAATGGGGTAAAATACAGTGATCCTATATAATGGAACATTATGCAATCATTTTTTGTGTGCATGAGGGAATGGAGGAAACTGTACACATAAGGTTAGCAGGACGAGATGCAATAAGATTGTACTACGTAATGATCCCATCCCAGTCAAAGGTGCGTGTTCAAAGACTAGGACATTAGGCTTACAAGGGCAAGTGATCAGAGTAATGGGACCAAAGATTATTCTCTCTCCTTTTGTCATAAACTTTAAATCCTTGGGGGAATGAGAAAATCTCAAAATTCCTAGAGCACCATATTTCAGCTGAGGGGGAGTGAATGAGAAAAGAAAGCTGCACCGCAGAAGTATGGGAAAGCTTATGAATCGAGGTATCACACTGAGCTTTTAGGAAATGAAAATGAACCTACCTTTTGCAAAGCTACCACGTCCAGAATTGGGGAAAAAACCTTAAAGAATATGCAACCTATATTTACCAGATTTTTAATTAATTTTTTATTATAATATAAATCAAGCCTAAGGGACACTTTGGGAAAGACATACAGTAAAGAAAAGTACACACATAAAGAATAAAATACACAGATATCACAGCTCATTTGATTCTCACTGGCAGCCAGGATGATACAGAAGAGAAGCTGGCATGATGTCATGTCACAGATGGGGAAATAGAGGCAAGGTCTCCTGACTTTTGACTGCAAGTCTAAGGCTCTGATTCAAGCACAGTGCTATTTCCACTGTATCATGTCACCAGACACTTCTGAGTCTTTAAAAACACCTTAGAATTAAGGGAATTTTCTCACAAGAAAAAAATGATTTAGTAATAGTAAGAATGAGCTTCAGTACTGAACAAATCTAAATCAATGTCAAAGCACAGCTTACACAGCTGGGTGACTTTTTCAATTTAACTTCTCAGAGACTCGATTTTCTTCATCTGTAAACACAGGAATACAATTATACAGCTTACAGGGTAAGAGTTAACTGTATAAGTACTTAGATCAGTGTCTACCAAATAACAACAATAAAAAGTGAGTTCCTTCTTTCAAAAAAAAATAACATTTCTACAACATGTGCAAATTCAAATTTTCGTCCTTATAAACCATACCAAATTCATTATTCTACTGGCTTTCGGCAGCCCACCAAACCTTTATCAATTACTAAGTACACGCTTTAAAATATTAAGACTAACTTGATAAGGATTATAACCAATAACAATGACAATCATTCTGTTAATTTTAAATCATTTACTACTGTTGTCTCAGTATATAATTAGACTTCCACATCACAGCCAAACAATGCTTTAAAAATGATGACATTTTTGTTTCTATCACCTGGAACCAAGGTCACTCTTATTCACATACAGCTACTTCAGACTCCCAAAGAATTTGCTTGATTCACTTGTTTTATGGGTGGGCAGGGTTACAGAAAGAAGAGAAACTGATGGGAACTTTTCAAATTTTTCATTTCCTCTTTACCTTAAATTTGCGCACGGAATCCTAAGTTCCAAGAGTTGCTTTTTCAAAACAGTCCATCCCTACTGTGTATTTTGTGGATATACAACTAGGCAGCTCCCTGACCTAAAAAAAATGCAGAATTTAATAAAACTTATCTTTAGCATCTAAATGAGGAGTCAGGAAGTTGGATGGAAGCCCGCAGAACCAAGGATTATGCACTTCTCACCTCATCAGCACCTGGACCATTTCCACCCCTCCCTTACTCAAGAGCTGTGCTTACTGTCTTTTAGAGAAACAACAAGCCCAAAGGTTGATTAACCAGAGTACTGAACATAATTCAGCCAAGATGTGGAAAATCATCCCTTGTAGCACTTGTGGTACAGTTTTGAATGCTGCTGCCAAGAGAAAAAGTTTAAGACTCTTCCATTAGGAAGTAAGAGACTGCCACTGCCCACCATAGAGCTGCATATCCTACTTTACAACTTCTTACAATTTTATGATATACTTATGATTTTATGATGTTTTAAACTGTCTTAGAATCTCAGCTACATTGCCGAGGTTAATTTATCTTCAGTTTTCTCTGGGCAACAGTAGGGTACAGTGGAAAAAGAATGAATTCTGGAATCCAGCAGGATGGGTTATCCCAGATAAACATATAAAGATACACATATCTCTCCTAATGGTCCTGCTTGCTGATACAGTACTTAGGTGATGGGGGGGCCTCAGCTATCCCACTGAAAATAGGGTTATGAGGGTAAAATGTTTACAAATATATAAAAGGCCTAACCCAAAGTCTAGCAGGTAGCGGACTCTCAACATCACTTCCCATCTCTTCCTGCTTTTCATATAGATCCCAAAGAGAGCAAATGCTGACTGCTAAAACACACTGACAGGTTTTACTTTGTGTCCTTTTTTAGATACCTCATTCTTCTGAAGCATTAACTTTCATCAAAAAGGTTACTGTGTAATTAGATAAAGATTTCTCTTCAATCACAGTGCACTCTAAGACTTGAATATTGCTCAGAGATTCAGGGAAACACAAATCTACTCTAGGGATAGATTCTCCTGCCAGTGGACATGTATCACATGCTAAACTTTTAAACAATTTTACTCCCAAGTTAAACTCTTTTTTCTAAATTCTAGAGGAACTGATTCTAACTTTGTGAGCATAGTCTACAGTCTCAAATCCAATTTAAACCTAATTATGGACAGGGCATGGTAATCCCAGCACCTGGGAGGCTGAAGCACGAGGATCTTTGCAAGCTCATGACCAGTTTGGGCTACAAAGTGAATTCAAGGCCAGCTCAAACTGCATAGAAAGATCCTGTCTTAAAAAGACCAAAAAATTTAAAAATTTTTTTTAAAAAATCTAACTATGTCCCTATATACCCTATCACTGAAAATCAAAATCTCTTATTCAATAAAACATATCCATTTTTGCTACTTCTCCAGGATGGATGCTGAAGGAAATATATGTCTGCTAATAAAGGCTCGGGAGTCATATTATTCAATCTGCTCCATTCCTAACCCATTTTGGTTCCTATAAAAAAAGCAAAGGCCACATTGACAAGCCAGTTTAAAAGCTGTAAGTGATTGGAATGCTGTCAGGAGGGAGGAGCAGGGTATGTATTCTATGGAGGAGATAATCATTGTTGGGAGCTTTCCAGTGGCTTATTATTTGGACCTAAAAAGGAGACACCTCTGAAGACAAGCTTAGTAAGGCTTGCTGACGTAAGATTCCAGGCCTTGGTAACCCCAAATGGCCAAGAAGGTTTACTTTTTAAAAAACTACTGCTATGAAATGGCAATTAGGAGGAGGAACAACAGTAAAGAATCCCTGGTGTCTGTCTGCAGTTATAAAAACAAAAGAGTGCAAGACAGGAGTTTGGTAAAAGCTGCACACCCTTTGAAGAAATTTCAATTAAAAACTCCTACTCAAAGCTCATCGTTGGGTACAAGACTTCAGCATCTCTGCTGGTGGCTTCCCGCCCTGGTTTCTTCTGTTATGACAGGAACTGACACAAGAGAAGAAAAACCAAATATAAGTTTATAAATGGTCCCTCCTTTTTTGCAAGCCTAATGTAGCCAGAAACAAGGGATGGGAAAATCCGAAATCCCTGACCTGTTGCAAGAATCCATCAACCACTTAAATAAATGAAAACTTTGACAGATAATGGAGCGCTTCAAGATTTTAAGACTTTGTTTTTTTAAAAAGGAGGAATGCGGGACATCACCCAGGCCTGTGTCACGATCCTCCGCTCTCAGGGCCTTGGAGGACCAGGGTAACAGGGATGGGGTCCCCGGATACCCCGGGAAGGAGACGCCGGCAAGGCTGCTACTCTCCGAAAGGCTCAGAGTAGGGGCGATCCAGGATCTCAGCAGAGGCCTGGGGAAGGGAAGGCGGGAAGGGAGGGACGACAGCAGCTACCACGCGCCGCGCCCCGCCCGGTCACCCAGATGTTGGGCGTGGGGTCCCGCAGCTGCGCCGGGGCTCGGAGAGCTCGGGGCGCCGCGGAGACCCCGCGCTTCTTTCCGCGCTGTGGGATCCGGCTGAACACCTGGTGTCCCGGCCCCGACCCGGCACTCACTCACCAGACGCCGCCAGCGGCGAACTCACGACGCCTCCCACGAAGACGGCAGCGGCGAGGATGGCGGAGCTCTGAACTCCTCGTGGAGCCATAGCCCAGTCCCTTCGCCCAGCTTTCCCCGGGGCAGAGTCCCGCGTTCGGCCGGCGGCGCAGCTCCTCACCCGGCGGGCAGAGCAAGTGGCAGGGCTGACTAGACCCCCGCGCCGCAAGCCCGCCCCGCCGTGGCCCCGCCCACCGCGGCCCGGCCCCGCCCCGCCCCTTTCGCCGCTCTGGGGAACAGCCTGCAAGGCCCCGCCCATTTCAACCCGGCCCCGCCTCTCCCTGGCTTTCCCGCTTCATCTCCAAACACAGAAGCCGCGCGGATTAGGCCACCGCCCCGCCCCGCCTCTCCTCTTCTCCTCTGCTCTTAGCTCCACCTGCGTGGTACCCCTCCCTCAAGGCCCCGCCCACCTGGGCCGGGCCCCGCCTCTCCCTCCGTCTCTGCTGCTTCCGCTCCAAACCCAGCAGCTGTGTGGCCGGGCGATGGCCCCGCCCTCTTGTCCCGCCCACTGCCGTCCGGCCCCGCCTCTCAACGCCCGCTTCCTTTCTAAACCCAGCCAGACGCAGCGGTTGGAGCTACGCGGGAGCCGCGGGCGGTGGTGGATCTGCTGTGGCTCGTCTTCCTGAGACTGGGCAAGCGTGGGAAGAAAAAGAGGGTTTTTATTTTTTAATCGTATGCTTCTGTACGCATCTTGCAAATTCTCCCTCAAAGTGGCCCTTCTAGTCTCCAGTCACTTATTATCTCCTTATATGCTCACCATAGCTCTATGAGGCGAGTATTATCTCCATTCCACAGGAAGTAAACCCACGTCTAGGCCTCCGTGATCATTGTAATTAACTCGTTGTCATTGCATTCGCTCATTGCCGTGCCCCCATTGCCTGGCTCAAGGACAGCACACCCTAAGTAAGAGATCAAAAGTCTTTTTCTTAAGTGGATCATTCAAGCACTGATTGGACTGAGCCTTTCTCTGAGTGGTTCCCTGGTTACTGGCCCTTAGACTCCGGAAACAGGGCCTTCAGATCTGCACTCCAGAGCCATGGGCCACCCCTGAGCAAAAGCTTAATGTGGGCCAGTAAGAAGGTGCTGGATGGAGGCTGGGGCATTTTCAGAATGAGCCTCTTCTTGGGACTGACTGATAGCCCCTAATTATTTAGCCTGTTACTGATCCTCCCTGAAGATCATCCCTGCAAGTCTGTTAGAGAGTTAAACATTTGCACTGATGTGAGTCTTACCAGTGACAGAAGGTGTGGGCACTACAGAAGGCTAAAGGTGGAGGGTGGAACACTTGCCCTTTGAAGCTAAGAGCAGTCCTGCCACTCCCTGTGCCCAGTTGGTGGCACATCCTGCAGTCTGGCAAGCTCAACAGCCAGCCCTTCCTACTTTCATATCAACCTAAAAACTGACTGTCAATGCAAAGAAAAGAGATTTGTATGGTGCCTGACTAAAAAAGGAGAAAAATCCCAGGCCTAGAAGTCAACCTGTAAATTATTAATTATAAGCAAAGCCAGCTACATAATTTGCAGTGCCCAGTGAAAAACGAAAAAGCAGAATATTTTATTTATACATCACTAAGAATTTCAGCAGCAAAGCATTAAAACCAGTTCTCAAGCCCTCTAAACATGGGGATCTCCTAAACGTGGTCACACTCCCATCAAAGGTAGCCCTGGTTTTAGAACTGTAACAAAATAGTTGTATGAGATTGTCTATTCAAAATATAAAATATCACATGAAAGTTGAATCGTTTCACATTGATTGAACTTACCATTAAAAAAGGATAGTTTTTAATAATATATTTGAATTAAACATTTGGTTAGAGTCCTAAGGAATTGAAATGAAATCCAGTCCTTAAAACTGGAAGCAAACAGTCAGGTGTGGTGGTGCACACCTGTAATCCTGAGGCTACGGCAGGAGGATCACTTTGAATTCAAGGCCAACCTGGGCTACAAAATGAGTTCAAGGTGAGCCTGAACTGCATAGTGAAACCCTGTCTGAAAAGGAAGGAAGGAAGGAAGGAAGAAAGAAAGGAAGGGGAGGAGGGAGGAAGGAAGGAAGGAAGGAAGGAAAAGAAAGAAAGAAAGAAAACGTTATTAATCATCTCCCAAGTTCCTGCTTTTCCTGATGACATCCTGACATCTCATATTTAGGATGAGCCAGGCCTAGAATCTATAACTCTTGGTATTTTCCTTCCCAGACTTTCCTCCTTGATACTGATATCTTATTTTTACATAAACTCATCTGCACATCTTGTTTAAGAAAGAGAGGGAGAAAGGAAAGCAAGGAAGAAGAAAAGAAGGAAAATCAAGCTTAAATCATTTTCCAGGTCCTCAGCCCTACAAATTTGTTTATATGAAGAAAAAATTTCACATATACAAATCTAAAAGGCCTCTTTTATTTTAAAAGACTCCTATGTAGTAGGAGTTGCCTACTATATTATGAAGGCAATATCATATTTCTTCTGATGAAATATAGCTTTGCAAAACTAAGTGACACTATTTTTTAAGAAATAAGATTAAAAGTAGATATCATTGTAACAATAGTTCTCATTTATTCGTACCTTAGGTTTAGCCCAGTCTTATAGTTTTTTTCCTGTGTTCTTTCATCAAATCCTCACAAAGATGTTATATTTGAGGAAGTATTGTTAATGAGCTTCACTTCAAAGCTCTGGAGACTCTGACTTAAGAGAGTATAACATTTACTTGAGTCACACAGCTGCTGTCTGGCATTGCCAGTATGCAGATCCAGAATTAGCTCACTGTAAGCCTGAGCTCGCAACCTCCACATATAGTCTTCTGCCTCTGAAATGCGTAAAACCAGTGCATCAGCTCTTCTTTTCCCACGTAAAGTCTCATTCTTCCATCCAAGTATTAACCAGACCTTACCGTTAGCTTCAGAGATCAAGTGCCTTCAAGGTGGTGTGGCTGTAGACTGACATTTCTTTCTCTTATTCTGTCATCACCCCTAACCCAGCTTCTTTGAACTGTTTTGACAATCACTTTCATATTTTTCCTTCAAGGAGAATAATTTATTTAGTTTAGGAATGGGTTATAAATCAGAATGCAGGGGCTCAAACTAACAAACTTATACAGTGTGCTGTCATTTGTGAATTTTGTTGATTTGTTTTTCCCAGTTTGTCTGAGAATTCAGTTCATCATTTCCCTTCATAGAAATCTTTCCTGTTTTGCTCTGTACTACTAAGTTGGTAATTTTCAGCACCATCATTTAAGTGTATAAGACTGCCCTGGCTGGTATTTATTTTAATTAATGTTAAACTAACATAGACGTCTGTTATTGAATTTCTTCTTTGTGTGAGTTAGATATAGTCATCTAGCCTTTTGAGAGGTTATAGGGGATAAGCTTACCATTCTCTAAAAGATATGTCTACAAGGGAATAAAATAGTGTTTTATAAAATCTAGGGCTATTTTGATCTGTAATAAGTACCTACTGTATTCCTAGTAGTAGACTGAGATTAGTAGGTTAAATAATTGCTACAAGTTTAATTAAAAGATGATAAAATTGCTTATAGAAATTTCAAATGTACCTGGATGAAGGGAAACAATTACATAGTGAAGTAGAAATGTTAACAGTTGGGACAGGAGATGTGCTCAGTGGTAGAACAATCCCCTGTGTTCAATCCCCAGCACTGCAGAATAGAGAGAGGAAAAACAGCGAGACAGACACAGAGACAGACAGAGACAGAGACAGAGACAGCTAATGGTCCAGAGCCCAGGGGACAGAGCACGGCTAATGACTTCCTCACTCTGTGACTCTCCAAGTTTCCCTGAGATTAGTCTTCTTACTCATAAAATTCATAGAAGATGAGATAAACAGAATAATTTCTAAAGGTGCCTGCCCAGGATTATGGTCCTACAATATAATGGTAAGATGGTCCAAAGGTCAGGACTTCTCAACACAGTGGACCTTCTTGGCTAAGTAATTCTGTCATAGAGGAGTATTGTGTGCATTGTATGATACTAAGTCACATCCTTGTGCTTTATCAGCTAAATGTCAAACACACCCTATCCCAGTTGGGACAATCAAAAAACTCCAGAAATCAAATGTCCTAGGTACAAGTGCAAAAGCACTATAGTTTGAGAACCACTGGAATCCTTCCTTAGAAGGATTATAACTGGGGCTTTAACAAGGTTTCATACAGAAGGTTATAACTTGAAGTTGAGGCTTGAAGGAAGTACAAGACTGGGGCTGATGGAGAGATGAAAGTCCAAGGGCAACATACAGTGAAAGAATTAGCATGATGAATGTTCACAGTGATATAGGACGGAGAAAACAGGTCAACAATAACCATGGGTAATAGTTGGTAAAATGAGGAGTTTCAACTGCACAGATGATTGTCATACGGTATAATAAATGACTATTACCAAAATAGATTGGGGAAGAGGGAACTATTCCCATTGTTCAGATATTTTCCATCCTAAATCAGGAAGCCTTAAATAAGAAATCTCGACTTTGCCAACATGTTCCATAGAAGTTAGAGGAATATGATCTTGAGTATAGTAATGGTGTCCTTAAGCTCTGTCCACATTGGATGACCACACTGAGTTGTTTCACGGATACAGTCACCTTGCAAGTAACTCTGTTTCCTACCAGAGCCTCAAAGAGTGGACATAATATTGATATTGTTGTCCTCAGTTAATACTATGAGAGAATTACAATAAGGAGCCATGTGTTTTGGAACCATTAAAATCCACAAATGTATTTGTCAGAGGATAAATTCTGCAAGGTGAAAAGTGTTTGTTTTAGACAAGCCTCCTTCAGATTAGAGTCAACATAAACATAAACACTAGTTCAATGAACAGTAAATGTGCTATAGTATTGTATAAGGGTACAGTATTCATAGATATGCAAAGCTGACCCCTCCCATAGCTCCTCCCCCACTCAGCATGGCCTCCACAGATTGGCTAAGGAATGGTTTTCTTTGATTTAGGAGAATGTGAGACTGGGCAGCCAGGACTCAGAGTGTGGCTTTTTACTCTAGAGAGAGACATTGGACATGATCTTCCTACCAACTGATAAATTCTGTATGAAGGAATATTATTGAAACTAATGGAATCAAGAATTTGCTGAAGAAAGGAGTTATTTTGTGGGAGACAACTCCAGTATCTCACTTTGAATGTAGAACAATTGTTGTAACTTTGATTATATGGAGAATTGT